AATCACATAAAATTTAGTCAGTGAATGCATCCGAAATCTCCAAAACCTGATGATATCTTGGGTGCCAGGGTACAGGGGAGTTTTGGGTAATGAGAAAGCAGTCTGGCCAGAAGAGGATGTGCAAGACCATACATAAGCCCCGAACCTATTCTTGGGATAAAAAAACAAATATTGAATCCTCCATCGCAGAATGGATCCAAACAAAACAAAAGAAGTGGATAAACATTAGCAGCGCTAGACGTAGTAAACTTATGATGAAAGAACCCTAACCAAGACTGGCAAAATTATAGCTGCAATTGGAGAAGGCCAAACTCAGAGGAGTGATAGGACTACTAACCGGTCACTGGCATCTGAGAAAACATCTACACATCATGGGTATAAACAGCGATGATCCCATTTGCAGATTATGTAATGACGAGGAGGAAACAGCCTCATATCATCTTCGAATGCGAAGCAACAGCTCAATGGAGATTTAACCTAACATATGGAAAAATCTTAGGGAATCAAATTGAAGCAGCGACAGTCAATGACGTCAAACTTCTAAGGAGAAGGATCGAGTCTATTGCACTGAACTATGGAACTAGGAAGGTCCAATAAGCCAAAAGGCTGCAGTGCCAGGGGATCGCAAACCCCGCTTCCTAGTATCCTTTTTTTTCTATACCATACCCGTTCACGCTAATAAATACATTCAATCTCAATAAACACAACAATAATACATCACAATAATACTATCCACCCAAACTCTGAACACTGGACCAGTATTTGGGTCGGTATAATGATGATTTGCGGGATTTGTAGGGTGTAGAAATTATGGTTATTAGAGGATATTTCCTCTGGGGGTGTGTTGTGATGTATACTGATTACTGATTTAATAAGTTAAGCTGTGCACATGTACACGTGTAAAGAGTTGAGGCTATCACTTCTCGCAGTCCTCCGACAATTCTAGCTGTTGGGTAATTTACGATAAATTACCGGCAGGCCTAGAGAATCACCCACTCCGGTTGTTGGCAATCCGTGGTCAGACCTCGGTCTTATCCGTCCGATCTCCGAGGTTGAGGTCCAACGCCATCGACAGCTAGGACATTTCAGCCACCAACGCAACCAGTATCTAAATTTAAACCCACTCACACCTTCTCACTCACTCTTATATTCATTCCTCTTTGCATGCCATTGGGGTCGTGTAATACTTGATATTCTTCCCCATCCAATTAATCTAATTGAGGATCTGGAGTTCTCAATATTGAGCCATCGGCCTTATCTTCCTACACATTCACGCTAATAAGTACATTTAGTCTCAGCACAGATCGGAACAGGGGACCCAGATACTCGCCTTCTTGCTCAAGTACAATTCTCTCTATATGGATCGAAGTAATGGTGACACTTTGACCCAAAAATTATTATCCGTGTGTCACCTCGCATGGACGTTCTTAGTCTAGTGAGGATGACCCCGACGATTTCTCCGACGGCTTATCAACGGTAGTCTTGACTTTCTATGTCGACATCGTCCGCATCGGAGATAGTGACGTACCAGACCCAGATAACGTCCACAGTTTTGCTGAGACATCCCAGTTTGTAGAATCTCCCATCAAGAGTACGACATTGGTATCTCTGGTCCAACGTTTTGATGGAACCTTTACTGTTCTTAACTGTTATCCCCAAAATTTTTATTTAATCTAGCATACTTTTCCCAATTAGCTGGTAGGGTATTTATTGTTACTCAGAAACCCGTCTACTGCTGATTGTCGACTGATTCGAAGTTGATCCACGTGTGATTTTAGGTTCCGTCATTGTATCATCAAACTGTGGGTTCATCAGTTAGCGAATATGTGTTGTCATGAGGTGTATTCTCAATACTATCCTTAAATGGTACTGCCAACTTTTTCATTTGTACAGATTTTATATGCAAAGATGGAAGCAAAAGCGTACAGTGATCAGGTAATGGTTCTTTTAAGGCGGTTTTTCTCCAAGGATTGTGTGGTTTTCTTTGAGGCCACGTTTCTACAATCCAATTTTTTGCCCTTGCTCGACTTTCCAACTCAAAAAGGAAACTTGAAAATTTTATTAACCCAGACACTTGGTCGAGTAGAAGCCTAGATCCTAACATCTCCTTATATTCTCTAATTGTACAGTTTGTACCTTAAACTGAAATGTGAATTACTACGAAATAGTTCGATTGAGTTTATACCTCCATCTATCATCTGCTCCGATTGAATTCTCGTAAGAATGATAAAGAAATACAACAATGTACATTTAATATTCGTTTTTTATTATAAAAGAAGACAACAATTTCAACTTTGGGCATCTTTGTAGAAAAGGAAAGACTTTGTTTGTACCTGTCGATAACAGAAACATTTGTTATTTCAATTGAGATTATGAGACACCCGTCGAAAAATCCCCCTTCGTTGTCTGACTCTTATTGGGTTTTATCCTCACAACGTTTGACAGAGCAGGAAGTCCAACATTTCCCCAATCAAGCCAAGGGTTGACAGCCCCTTGCTAAAAGGACATCATTGACCTTCCCCGGACATTATTGACCACGGCACTGCCATTACAATGCGTAGAGTTTTTCACCCTATATTCCCGGCCAATTTAGTTAATAATTGATTGTAATTTTTTTTCAGCCGTCATTATTTTAAGTCCTAACAATGCCTTTTTAATTATGGTATTAATTGACAGCCAGGCTGTAAACTTGGCTATTAACGAACTGTTAACACTATTTTTTTCCTCCATCCCATCTACAGCCGAGTTAAAACTGAGAAGTCAACTAAGAGAAAAGCTTAAAAAAAAAAAATTTCTTTCATTAAGGACGTATTAACCTACTAACTATTTTCAAATTTATCTTCAAAAAAGTTTTATGTTGAAATAAAGTGAAAAGTTTAAAAAAAAAAAACGAAGTATTTAATAGATAGATAGATAGATAGATAACATGCTTTATTTACATTAAAGAGAAGTGTTACATAATATACAATATTAAAAGCGTTTTACAGCATGGATGCTTATCCGTGTGCCGGAAGTTGGCTGTTTTTTTTCAGGCGAGCGAAAAATAAAAAATAAAATAAACTATATAATAATGGTAATATTAGAAAACTATAAGTAAAAACTAAATTATAAAAACTAGCTGATTTTAGATAGAAGTTAAACAATTATGACTCGGTATTATAATCGTACCTATATTGCCAGGCATGACGTGCATAGTGTGCTAGACATTTCGACCTCTCCATATCCACGATATTTAACAGATCAAGCAGCTGAGACCTGTAAAGCGATTTATAGCCTAGATACAGGATAAGGAGTTCAGTATGGGACACTGGGCAACAAAATGAAAGATATCTTCCCTAACTCTTAGGTTACAGAGCGTGCACAAGAAATTTCCGTCTTCTTCGTTCCATGGCACAGAATTGAGGAACACCTGCTTGCATCTGAGTTTAAGAAGCCATCGAAGAGTCGGAAGTTTTATAGACCCACCAGCTTGAACATTTAGGTTAAAGGTTTCCTTAGAGTGGTCTAGGGTCTTAAAGAGAAGATACCTGTTGGAGACCTGAGTCCGATGCTCACAACTCAAACGATGTTGATCACGTAGTCTGCACAAAAGTTTGATGGTATAATTGGGCCAACTCGAGAGGTTTTCTAAACAAAAAGAAAAATCGCAACCATATTGAGAAGCTAAAGTATTCCATTGCCGAAACCAAGAACAATTAGATTTTATAACCTCGAGAGCAGTAATTTTGGAGATTCGGGCAACAGGGCCCTTAAGTACCCTTAAAACAAATGAAAAATGCAGGGAAAGCGTAAAAAGGAAAATTTTGTCTACTGCCGTCTCCATATAAAGCATATAGTTTGGAGTAGAATTAGGCAGTGAGAAGATCTTCCTAATAAAAAAACGTTGCACTCTTTCTATCACTTCATAATCCTGGAACCCCCACACCTGGCCTGCATAACACATAATAGAACGGCACACTGCATTAAATACCTTGTACTTTGAGTAAACCGGGATTAGATTCTGGGCCAAAAAGTAACACCATGTTCTATTCAAAGCCACCTTCGCCACTGAAGCTTTGGAGTTTAGATGAGGGGTAAAAGATAGTCTGGAAGTTAGGACAACTCCAAGATATTTATATTGGTTAACCACATCAACCCTCTCACCCTGGAAAAACCAACGCTCGGCCTTGGCAGGCCTGCCTCCTCTTCTAAACACCATTATCTTTGATTTAGCCAGGTTGACAGTGAGATTCCATTGATCACAGTATGATTCCAGGAGACTAATATTTTTCTGCAACCCAGTAGTACTATCTGTTATCAAGACTACATCGTCAGCATACATTAAAATCTTAATAATTGTACCACTAACATGGACTCCAAAATCCAAGCTAGACGGGAGATCATCCAAGAATAAGGAAAAGAGTAAAGGGCTTAGGACACATCCTTGTCTCACACCACAAGATACCTCAAAAAATTCGGAAATACCTCCTGACCCCCTGACCGCACTCTTAGTCTGTGAGAAAATTGCCTTCACGACCCTTCACGAAGTATTTAATAATTCCACGGATTGTCAGGACTCGGATCAAGAACAAGCAATAGCAGCAAATACAGTGCCCTAATCACTGCCATCGAGATCCCAAAAGTAAAGTAATGTCTGTCATAAGAATGGCTTAACGTCCAACGGGTTGAGTGCATTGGACATGGGGTCAAACCACTTTATAATAGGTTTTTTTAAATGTTATTATCAATTAAAAACCCAAGGGTTTTGCGGGATTCGAACTCAGAACCGCTAGCGTGGCAAATAGTCGGACCACCTCGGTGCTCGAAAATTCAACCAAGGGAAGAAAAATTAAAATAATAGAATTAATCGGTACAAGAAATTTTGTAGGCTAGTAAAATTTGGTTAAAACTTAGGTTTGGTTATAACAACATATTTTACCTACAAAAAACCTTAACATGTGGTTTAACTGCTGGTAAGCACACATGTGGCTTATTAGAATCAATTATTCGAGTCGGAGTATTCGATTTTTCTCACCTCCTAAGATCACGACCGCAATAAGAATGAACATCTAGGTTATGAAAGCAGCTCGGATAGATCTCGAGTTCCTTGTTGTATCTCTGATAGGTGTTTTTATCTCGAGGTTAAAAAAATACATCAGTTTCAAGGTACTTTCCCACAATTCACACTCCTCAGCTCAATTTTTCACTGGCAAAACACATGGTAAACACTCGGTTGGAAAATTCACAGTGAAACATAAGATTTACTCTTTCTCAGTACACTCTTACATACAGAAGACTCCAGTTTATGTACGTATTCCAATCGATTGCCTAAAACATTTCGCACTCCGTTATTTTATTTTTATTTTTTGATCAGCTTTACATAATAAATTATGGATATTTGAGCAACAGGAGACTATCACTATCAAAGTATTTTCGCCATTAACATATTGGGGAAAATTTACCTTGACCCAAAACCGTCTTTTGAAACATCTTTTAAAAGCTAATTTCATTACAAATCGTAATTCATATTTTTTTAGATTCTAGAATTTTCATATATGTTAAATTTTTATCCAAACCGCTTTGGCTTTATAGTAAAATTTAAACTTAAGCTTTTATCTCGAGGTGTCAATAATTGGGTTAATTTCAGTAAGAGGTTTCCCCACTGAAGAAACCACTAAGAACCAAGGTGGTTAGCTTAATTTCTCGAAAGCACGCCCCTGTAATATCGACTTTTTTCCTCCATTAGAATGTATTTGAAGATCCCTTTTTATTCTATTGGGCGATCGTAGAATAATGCCATTTCTCATTTTAAAAATCTTCAATCAATTTATCTTATCGATAAAGGTTAGAAGTTTTCTTCCTAGGTTAAGACTTTTTTTATCTTCTTCCCAAGCTTTCCGTTGTGTAAGTTTTTCTTTTCCATTGGTACAATATGTACATCGAGTGATTCATGGTGTAAAACAACCATTTCTATTCACTGAACAGTCTTCTTTTCCTTAATATCTGCATTTAGTTGGTTGCGAGGGGACGTTTGATGTAATTGGCAATCTCTTTGTGAGGAGTCCGCATTCCATTTGGCTTTTCCCCACGGTCACTACTGAATATTGCCCAGCAAACATTTATCACTGTCTGTTGAGATGGATCTCTACGAGGTATCTTAAATGTTATATTTTTAAATTAAGCGACAATCTACGTGAAGCGCGAAAAGTTAGCTCACATAGCACATGGATAAGCTATCTGATAGGAATTCTACATCAGTTTTGTTGTTTCAGTTTTTTTTTTTTTATCGTCTAGGACGATTATTAGAAAGAGATCGGGAAGTTATACGGGGAATTAGAGGATGTGGAATATTTTATAATTGATTATTTGGAGATCGTGAGTTGCGGTCTGGTGTGACGTGGGTTTTAGAAAAAAACATTTTCTTTATCGCGGCAACGTTTCGATCTTTATTGAGATCATCTTCAGGGCTCAAAGCGTTTGTTTGCCCTCTCGGCACTCTCAACTCGACACACAAGAATGACACATCTACACGGAAAACAAACACTTTGAGCCCTGAAGATGATCTCAATGAAGATCGAAACGTTGGGATTTCCTACACATCAAAAACAAGTTTAACTTCACACATGCCACACTAACACAACCAAACACCAGAATTTACGATATACACAAGGCCACAATACATTTCAAAAGAAACATTTTAAACATGGAAATCACCACCAGCATTAAAAACATTAAGACATGAACACAAAAATTACACCAATTAAAACTCAGTGTCGCCAGCATAATACATACGGACACTTTAAAAAAATGTACAAATATCAACAAGATGCATACCAAATTTGACCAAATTAAAAACAAGCACACTATACAATTAAACAAGTTAATCAACAAACAAACATGTGTGAACACAAACAATTGGTTTCTAAACCTAACAAAAACTAACTTTCCTCCAGAAATCCCAAATTTCCTATCACTTTGTCCCAAACATTCCATTCCTTACAAAACAGATTTCCCAACAGCTAAATTAATTATTGATGTAGACTATGCAATCCAAAAGTCAACAAAAACATAAGAAGAAAAAGACATGACACGATCAAACTGCATTAACACAATAACAAATCACTTACAACACCTCACTACAAATCAACACAACATATCACAACAAACATACACCAAAACAAAAAAATTTTCAAAAATAATCTTGACATACTGATTCTTTCTGCTGATAAAACGAAACAAACAATATCAATCAGCAAAAAAGAGTACAAAGAAAAAAAATTAACAAGAATATCAAGGACACAAACACATACAGCACAATCAAATCAGACCCTACCTCTTCTCTCATCGAACAGACAAAAAAAATTGGCACTCTCAACACGACACACAAGAATGACACATTTACACGGAAAACAAACACTTTGAGCCCTGAAGATGATCTTCAGTTATTAAATTTTTTTATAAAAATGAGAGAAAAAATAAAAAAATAAAATAACTTCACAAAAAAAAGTTTAATTTATTGTTAAAATTAAAATTTGATTCCAACGTTTCATGAAAATAATTAAACGTATAAAATAAAAAGTAAATGACTTACAATTTGATGTGAGGTAAAATCTGAAGTAACCTTTTGAGCCCTTTCAAATTAAATACTCAAAATAAAATCGTTCTTAATATTTATACATTGAATATTTTTATAAATAGTCGATCAAACACCTTCCAAAATCTTTTGTCTCAAAAATTTAAATATTTTCTACTTATTACAACTAATTACAGTTAAACAACGATCCACTCACAGCCCTAGCAAAATGGCGACTGATGATCCTTCCAAACACTCCCCTCTTTCTTAAAGTCTCCAGCTGATCCATCCACGACGAATCGTATTTGGAGGTTTCCTTATTCGTTTGAAATTCTGGAACTTTTAATTGTGATGGGCCATCATCACAATCTCAATAAAAATTGAAACGTTGGCACGATAAAGAAAATGTTTTTCTAAAGCCTACGTCACACCACATCTCACCATCTCCAAGTAATCATTGGCTAACTAAACACCGCACATTTTATAGTTGGTTGTTTATTGATTGTATAGTTGGAAACGGGTCGTTGACGATCATTCGTGATTCGAGGGCCCTGGCTCTGCGGAGTTCAGGTTTAGTCGAACCTCATGCTGTATGTCCATATTAGTTTCCGTGTGATTTGTTGCCTAGGGAGGGTTCAGATATGTTGTCATATGTTGTCAAGTCGATTGTCTAACCATACCCATGGTACCGGATGACGTGTTAGGTAGAACAAGGTTGAGGTTATAACAAAATAGCGGTAGAGTGGTAGGAAGATGAATGGTTATGTTTTGGATTTTGTTATTTGAGCTTGATTCGCCATTTTTGAAGCATTGTTCAAAGGAATAATGGTGTGTCTGGATGATTTGGCGAGTTTTAACATGGAGGATTGACTAGGAGTACCATCAACGTATGTTAGGATTGTCGGGGATGGAAAGGGCAGCGCTAAATACAAAAGAGAGTGAGAAGATCTGTCTCTACTTTAAAGTACCTTTCGGCGTGGAAAGACCATAGGACGAACAGAACCTGTGTCGATCGATGGCCTGTTCGACAAAGAGGAAAAATCCTTCTTAATGGATCATGTCCACATGATGGCACTGTCGAATAGTGGAATGGTCACGTCTCATATAATTCTTCATTCCAATTTGATAAACCAAGCATTTCCTCTATCTGTTGGGTTATTTTCTATAAAAGTTTTATGTAGGTCGACGCAGGCGTACATGTACTTTATCTTCCGGAGAAAAATCTGAACTTGGAAAATCACCTCAGGGCTTGACCATCGCTCACATCTACACCGTACAGAACGTAGATTTCTGTTCGATCCCATTCAAAGCTTTCTTTTTTATTTCTCAAAATAAACCAACGTAAAGTTACCCATTAAACTAATTTAACATGACCTCGCTGTCGATGAGCTGTAAAGTAATCTCAATTGAACAAAAGTTCTTAAAAGTCGTTGTGCCCGGTTGTTCAAAGTGACATTTTTTTATTTATTAAAGCGTAAAAGGTTTTTGATTTATATTATTGCTATTCGTTTGTTTGCGGGTTTACGTTTGTTTATGAGTCGGGCAATTTAAAACATGATTTCTCCGAACTTTCCTAACCCTAAATTGGATGACCAAATTCTATTTTATATTTACAGATTTCAATTTCTTTCTGTATGAGAAAATATGTCTCGATTTTTCAATAAATTGTTCGTCAAAGATTCATTAATTAAATTTTTTATTGTAAACGATTGTTGGAAACGAAATATTGAATCGGCTCTTGTGTCTTTTTTTCATCAACCAAAACAAAACAGAAAATGTGAACGGGTAGGTAGCAGCTTAGAACGTGCCCATAAGGAACTTGTCATCCGTAGGATGTCGAAACGTACGAGGACGGTTCAGTCCGTCGAAGCTAACGGTATTATGAGAAATTATAAAAGAGGGAAAGCAACAGGTCCGAAAAGAATGTGAAGGACCGCTACGCCTTCCAATGAAAAAAGGTATATTAAAGTTCCTTCTTCAGGCACCGACCCGATTGATTACAGTGAATTACGGACCTTAATTTTCCCACTGGCAACACATCATTTCATCACATTTTCACAGTAAATAGTGATTGGGATATGAGTTTATACGGTATAAAAAAGAAGTTGGATCGTTTCCGATAATCTTGGTCCCATCTGTTTCAGCGTTTCATTGGTTTCGATGTCAACTGGAAAAGGGCTAGGATAGGCAAAACCTTTAAATTTTATTTGTAGATAGTGAGATGAGTCTGGTGGTAGGTTTTAGAAAAACATTTTCTTTATCGTGCCAACGTTTCGATCTTTATTGGGATCATCTTCAGGGTTCAAAGTGTTTGTTTTCTGCGTAATTGTGTTATTCTTGTGCCCTCTCAACACGACACACAAGAATGACACAATCACGCAGAAAACGAACACTTTGAGCAGCCCTGAAGATGATCTCAATAAAGATCGAAACGTTGGCACGATAAAGAAAATGTTTTTCTGAAACCTAATCACACCAGACCGCATCTCACGATTTCTGAATAATTAGTCTTTCACTCGGTTGAACTAGTCGTACTGTATGCCTGAAAATTCGTACAATTAATTTTATAACATCTTGAATATTTTCAAGTTTCCGATAATCCTGGATTTAAATTTAGAACACTCTCGGAATACTAGAGTAATAGATGTAAATTTGGCACTCGCCAGCGGAAGTGGAAGCAAACGGGGTGGATCCAGGTGCAGAATGATTTACATTACTGAGCTGAAATTTATTG